CCTTATGAATCAGGGTGAAGTCTCTCTCAGGGAGGAGTGATAGGGAATGGCAAAGGACACACTGACAAAGGAGATGAAACAGAACTGGCTTTGACAAGCACTGTGGCAATTGGACAATTAAAACAAACATTCGGAGGGCAGGGGAAGAAGAACAAACTGGGGAAGAGGGTAGAGCGAATGGTACAGCAATGAAGGAATGAAAACCCAAAATCCCTGTAAATGTTCATTAATACTAATAAAATTTAATTTAAAAAAGTAGTATTTAGAATATCATCTCATATTTCTAATATAATGCTTCCATAGATTTTTGTGAAATTAAGTTTATTAAAATTGCTAACAAAAGTTGCTAAATCCTAAAAAGGAATTAGAAAGCACATTAAACACGAAAATCAAATTTTAATTAAAGATCAAAAATAAATTATTAACCTTAGAGTTTGCTGCTCTAAGCTTTATGGTTATAATTGCTAACCCCCATTGGCATTTAACTGGAACCATCTCCTGGCTCACCCTCCAGTGGGTTTCCGAGGCTGCAAATGACATAGGAGGGAACTGCCCATCTTTCTCCTGCAGAGCTACTTGTTTATTCAAACCTCCAGAAAGACAGGGACTTTGTGTCAGCAGTATGAATGTGTACTAGAACATCATGTTGTTTGTTGTTGTTGTTGTTACTGGTATGTGCCCTTGAGTTGGAATAGCTGACCCTCCTGTAGATTTTCAGAGGCTACAAATCACATGGAAGGAGATTTTTCATCTTTCTCCCTCAGAGCAGCTAGTGAATTATAACCATCTACTTTTAGGATGGAGTACAACTCACTGTCCACTTGTTGCTGTTGTTGGTAGGTGTCGAGTATGACTTATAATGACCCTATGAACAAAAGATCCGAACCCTATTCTATCCTGTGCCATCTTCACACTTCCTGACACAAAGAACCCATTTGAGTAGTCAGTGTGTCAGTCGACTTGGTCAAGGGTCTTCCTGTCCTTCTCTGACCTTCCACTCTTCCCAAGATCATGTCCTTCTCCAAGGAATAGCCCCTCCTAGAAACATGCCCAGAGTATGTGAGGTGAAGCCTCATCATTCCTGTCTCCAAAGGGCACTCTGGCTGAAACCTCTCAAAGACATATCTATTCATTCTCTTGGCCATCCGTGGGTTGCTCATCGCTCTTCTCCAACACCACAGCTCAAAGTGATCAATTCCTCTTCTGTCATTTTTATTCATTGTTCAGCTCTCAGATGCATAGCAAGTAATCAGAAAGATAGGGCTTGAATCAGATGCGCCTTGGTCCTCAAATGGATATTATTACTCCTCAATAATTTGGAGAGGTCCCTCACTGCAGAGTTTCCCAGTGCAATATATCTCCTTTCCTGACTGCTGGTATCAAGTGTCACTGTCAACTAGGCCACTGGGTTATTAATTTAAGCTTCCTAATAAAAAGAAATAATAATAGATACATGGACATGTGCCAAAACCCTCACTTTCTCTGTGGCAAGCCTGTAGTCAATATTCCACATCTATTAACTTCTTTAATGTTTACACTAACCCAGTGGGCAAGATACTGTTCTTGTGTAGCACCGAGTCAGGACCAACCCATAGTTGGCCCTCTAGTAGGTTTTCAGAGGCAGTAAATCTCACTGGAAGAAAATGCCTATCTTTCTCCCAAGGAGCAACTGGTGGATTCAAACTGTATACTACCTTTGTATTGACACTTTACCACAAAGCCATTAGAGCTCCCTGGGCAAGATACTGTTGTTGTTGTTGTTGTTGTTGTGTATCATCCAATCAGAACTGGCCCATAGCTGACCCTCCTGTAGGCCTTCAGAGGCAGTTAATCACACAGGAGGAGACTGGCCATCTTTCTCCCAACGAGTAGCTTGTGGACTTGAGCCACGTGTCTTCAGGATTGCAGTGCAGCTTCTTGCCACTAGGCCAATGGAGCTCCCAAGATACTATCATCTTAATTCACAGGTGAGGAAAACAGACTCCAGTAAAGATTAAATGGTTTTCCCAAGTTCTTAGCAGCAGATGGTATCTTGGCTCTCTCAAGGCCTTGGTACGGCAGTTAGTACACCCAGCTTCAGGTCTGACTCTACCAATTCCCTGTTGTGTGACTTTGGACAAATCATTTCTGTCCCCAAAGTTCATATCCATTAGCTGCAAAATAGGGATAATATTGACAAGCCAGAATTCTTGAGAAGTAAAGAAAGAGAGTTTATGGCAACCTACTACAAAAATTGTAGAGCTAAATAAGTCTACTCGCTATTTTATTAATGATAAAAGAAAATACAATGCTAAAAAAAAGAAAAAATAATTTTTTATTTTTTGGTCAACATTTTTCAACAAAAATTATGTAAGTAGATAAATATCCTGTTTTATTTATAAATTGTAGGCTTATGATAGAAATTATCTAATAAAGGCAATATGAATTAATATCTTTAGCTCTGGTGGCCCAGTGTCTAGAAAGTTATGCTGCCATCTCAATGGCACAAGATTCAAACTCACCAGCTTTTCTAAAAGAGAAAGATAAGCAAATAACCTCTCATGTAATTTACAGCCTTTGAAAACCCACTGGAGCTCTTTGATGTTTCTGAATCAAAGGCAATGAATTATTGTTGATGTAAGGAATAACGTTGTTGTTGTTATATGTTGTCGAGTTGCTTGCAACTCACGGTGACCCTATGTACAATATTGCCCTAAACCCTTTTCTGTCCTGTGCCAATCTCACTGTCTCCGACACACCTATCCCCATTGCCCCAGTCCCTGAATCAATCTACGTCATAGATTGTTTTCCCCTCCTGCACTGTCCCTCCACCCTCCCAAGCATGACATCCTTCTCCAAGGACTGGTCCCTCCTTGCAACATGTCCAAAGTATGTCAGATGAAACTTCAGAATCTTTGCTTCCAAGAAGCAAGCCTGGTTTCACCCTCTCCAGGACAAACCTGCTTTCATAGCAGTCCATGATATATTCAATACTCTTCTCCAACACCACAGCTCAAAGGCATCAATTCTCCTTCTATCATCCCTAGTCATCATCCAGCTCTCTGATGCATAGTAAGTGATTGCAAAGACTATAGCCTGTATCAGGCGCATCTTAGTCTCCAGAGCAACACCATTGCTCTTCAGTACTTTAGAGAGGTCCCTAACAACAGACTTTCCCTTCGCAATATGTCTTTTAATTTCCTGGCTGCTGGTGTCAAGAGTATTGTCTGTGGAGCCAAGCAAACTAAAGCTGTGAACAACCTCAATCTCTTCACCATCCATCCTGATGTTGCTTATTAGAGGATCAGTAAAAAAGAGGAAGATCCTAAATGAGATGAACTGGCACAGTTATGGAACAATGAATGGCTCCAGGTTGTAAGGAAGTGATGGTTAGTGTCAGATGATGGGAAGTGGAAATGTGTTTGGCCTCCCTCTCATGGGAATCAATTTGGGCTGATCCTCCCAAAGTGCCCCAGGGTTTGAAACTTTTGCTGATCCTACTATTTCAATGGGAGTTTGCTTTGTTTTGCTTTGGTTTTGATTTTTTAACACATGCTTTTTATGTATTTCTTGGCACTCTAAATTCTAAAAGTCTTTAAGTGAAAAACTTGAGAAGACCCAGACTCTCCAAGGCTGCACCTACCTCCTGGTCGTTCGTGTTCTCCATCAGTGTGTAGAAGCATTGCAATGGGCATCCCCACATTCTTGGATCTTCCAACTACAACCACATTTTTCCCAAATGTTTCAATTCCTTAAAACATAGAGTTTGATTTGAGTGCAGAATCAACAAGAAGCAAATTAAACATCTGAAAAGGCAACAGAAACATTCTTTAAAATTTTCTAATTAAATTTGGAATATGTATGGCCTATCTATAATGTGTCCACATTCATTATAAATAGCTCTTTTATAGTCTTCTTAGACTGGTCACTTCCTTTATGATTATTTTGTCCATTAGTATTTAAGAAAATATTAGCAGTTTCAATCTCATTAAAACTTACTTTCAAAACGTAAGATATACATGAAGTGTTTGAAGTGCAGATACTTAAGATATACTAAATGTTAACTAAAGTAAATCATATGAAAAGATCACTAGTAGCCCAGTGACTAAATTTTTCAGTTGCTTACTGAAAGGTTAGTAGTTTAAAGCCATCAGTCACTGTACATGAAACAGATGTAGCAATCTGCTTCTGTAAAGCAGAAAACCTATAGGGTAGTTCTACTCTGTCCTCTATTCTGAGTAGCAATAAATTTAATAGCTATTGGTTTTGAGGGCTTAAAGTATAATAATTTTCAGAATAATTGGCAATTAGCCTTTGAGAAAATCTAAGACATAAAGAAATGAGAGAAAAATATTCTTCACTAAGATCAAATACTTTACTTCAGAAGATAGAATTATCCAGCTTATGAATTCAGAAGAGTATGAATATGAAGGTGACCTAGTGACGAAAAGCTGCATTGAAATCCCACAGGTATGTGATTTGAATCATCCAGCTGTTCTGCTGGAAAAGGTAGGAAATCTCCTCCCGTGCAATTTACTGACTCTGAAAATCCACTGGAAAGTCAACTACAGTCAGTTCTGACTTGACTGCACACAACAGCAATGAAACATAAAGTTTAATGAACACACTTTACAAGTTTCATAGACAAAATGTGAAAGTTAGATGTAAGGTTTCCAAGTGCTAGCAGTCAAGCCAGGTAATATGAGCTACTAATATTAATATATAGGCAAGCATGTAATGTACACACATGCCTCAAAAATCCATGAGGACACAACTACTCTATTTACCACACATCAGTAGGCAAAGGTTTATAATGAAACCTAGGTCATTTGTTATAGATCCTATACAAACTCAACATAGTTTTATTTTAAAAGTAAAGAAAAAGTAAAAAAAAATAAATACAAAAGTAAAGAAAAAGCATAATAATATACTTTGTAAAGATTTTCATCAAACACCCCAAGTTTATGGTTTAAAAGTATAAAGACAAACCTGTTATTTGGGAAATTTTGTCTCTATGAGAAGCACTCCATACAAGATGGCATTTCTTGTGCCACCTGACACATGTTCCTCATTTCTTTCACTCTTTGACTTCTGTAATATCATATCCTTTCCAAGACTTATGTTTTATGATTCATTGTTTTGTCATTCAATAGGACTGAGGTAATTCTCAGGACAATGTACACATGCTCAGGGTTACATCACTATTCAATCTCTGCAGGCCCCAAGCTACTAACCTGTTCTTTGTATTATTTCCCAAACAGCACTGGCAGTGGCAGGAATGAGAGAATGCTGGTCAAGGCACAGTCTTCCAATATTAATAATATGAAATCCATCTACGTCTTTCTCAGGAGCAATTCCATTACATACTGTTCTCTCATCAACATGATCTGAAAAGCAAATCAAATGGGTCTAATATAAAATTTGTTATTCACTTGGGACACTGGAAAATTAAATCTAAAGCCCTACAACTAGATCATAAATCAGGTATGCTTTAACTTCAGGCAAGTAGAAGGGTGGAGGGACAGTACAAGAGAGAAAGATCCTGGATGCGATAGATGGGTTGCATCAGTAACTAGGGTAATGGTGGTAGGTGTGTCAGAGAATGAAATTGGCTCAAGGCAGAGCAGGGTTCAGAGCTGTTGTACATAGGGTCGCTATGAGTTGTAAGTAACTCGTCACCATATAACAACAACAACAAACATAAAATAATTTCTTCTTTTTCTTGGCATCAAGATAGTAAGCCAATCTATTCTTGATTAACCTTTATAAATAGCTCAAGATAATTATAAGAACATTATAAATAAACATAAGAAAATTATAGGATCAGTAGTAGCTGGCCTTGTAAAAAGGAATAAAACAAATCAGTGAGACCTAGAAAGAGCTGAAAAGAGCCAAGTGATATATCTCTGTTTCAGTATGATTTCACATTTAGAGGTTTACATTCCCAAGACAAATAATTTCCATTAATATAGTTACCTTAAATACTTCAAGCAATAAAAATTTAAAAAGTCTTGTAAGTGTTAAAAATCCCCAATCTTAATACCTAACACCTTCAATTCTTGTTGTTTACTACAAAGTCAGAAATGACTCATAGCTGACCCTCCTGCAGGTTTTTAGAGGTGGTAGATCGATCCCACTGGAGAAGATTGTCCATCTTTCTCCTGGGAAGCAGCTATAGCACAACTCCTTACGTTTAAACCATCAGAGAAGACACTGAAGCTGTCAACTATTTTAATTTAACTTGGATCCACAACCAACACCTATGGGAACAGCCATCAAGAAATCAAAAGATTTGTTACATTGGGAAAATCTTATGTCAACAATCTCTATAAAGTGCTAAAGAGCAAAGATATCAGTTTAAAGACTAAGATGCACCTGAGTGAAGCCTTAGCATTGTCAACTGCTTAACATGCATTCGAAAGTTGAACCAAAGAAGATCAAAGAAGATGTGATGCCTTTGAATTGTCATGTTGGTAAAGAGGATTGAATATCTCATGGACTGTCAAAAGAACAACCAAGTCTCTCTAGTGCTCCTTAGTGGCAAAGATTGTGAATTTCATCTCACATACTTTAGGCATGTTGTCAGGAGGGCCCAATCCTTGGAAACAAACATAATTCTGGGAAATGTAGTCTGCCATCAAAGATGAGGGAGACTTTTAGTAACATGGAATAACACAATGACTGTAGCAACAGATCTGAAAATAGGAGAGGCTGTGAGGACTGCACAGGACATGTCAAGGTTTCGTTCTGTTATTCATAGGGTTGAGTTACAGTTGACTACACAGCACCTAACAACAGCTGATGCAGTTTGCTCTTATTAAAATTTATGTTGTTGTTGTTATGTGCCGTCGAGTCGTTTCCGACTGATAGCGACCCTATGCACAACAGCCCTAAACCCTGCTCTATCCTGCGCCAACCGCACCGCCTCTGACACACCCATCCCGATTACCCCAGTCACCGAATCAATCCATCTCATAGAGGGTCTTCCCCTCCTGCGCTGTCCCTCCACCCTCCCAAGCATGATGTCCCTCTCCAAGGACCCGTCCCTCCTGGCAACATGTCCAAAGTATGTCAGACGAAGCCCCAGAATCCTTGCCTCCAAGGAGTAGCTTGGTTTAATCCTCTCCAAGATGAATCTGTTTGTTTTCCTGGCAGTCCAGGGTACATTCAGTACCCTTCTCCAGCACCACAGCTCAAAAGCATCCACTCTCCTTCTGTCCTCCCTAGTCATTGTCCAACTCTCTGATGCATAACAAGCGATTGCAAAGACCATGGCCTGTATCAGGCGCACCTTAGTCTCCAGAGAGACACTGTTGCTCCTGAGTACCTTTGAGAGGTCCCTAACAGCAGACTTTCCCATCGCGATACGCTTTTTGATTTCCTGACTGCTGGTGCCAAGAGTGTTGACTGTGGAGCCGAGCAAACTGAAGCTGTGAACAATCTCAATCTCTTCGTCATCCATCCTGATGCTGCTAATTGGTCCAGTGGTGAGAATCTTTGTCTTCTTGACATTGAGCCTCAGTCCATACTGAAGGCTGCAGCCCTTGACCCTTCGCAGCAAATGCATGAGGTCCTCCTCAGTTTCAGCAAGCAGGGTTGTGTCATCTGCATGACGGAGATTGTTAATAGATCTTCCACCAATCCTGATGCCACAATTCTCCTCACAGAGCCCATAGCTTTGAAAATTACATGAAGGATCACTGTGAGTTAGAATCAACTTGGGCCACATGGGTTTTATTAATAGAGACATTAAGACATATTAATTTCACCTGGCTGCTTCCATCCCTGTTTGATGCAGATTGTAAATGTATAGAAGTAAATAATATAGTTGATGGCTTTTGTTAATCTAAGGCAGCACTTGGAGAGCAGGTGGTTTAGTGGTAAGGACTTCTACTGCCAATGCAAAGGTATGCAGCTTGAATGTACCAGCTAATCTGTGGGAGAGAGGCAAATCGTCTCTCCTGCAGTGGGTTTTAGGGTGCAAATACCACAAGAGATTACTCATCTTTTTCTTGAGAGGCTGCTGCAGAATTAAAACTGCCAGAGGGCCACAGCCTTGGGGTTAGGAGCCAATCTTCCCACAGGCTATGAGATCAGAGCTACCCACTAATGCACTAGACAGGGAACTAAAAACTATCAATATGGTTTTCCACACTGGAGAAAAAGACTATAAACTGAGTAAGGAACTAATCAAATGAGATAGGAAATACCAATTATTTCATTTGAAAAACCCAAGTAATTAGTATGCAGAAAAAAAAACCCAAAACAAAATCCAAAACCAAAAATTTTATTACTAATTAGCCTTTTCAGACTCAAAGCAACTCTTCAGGATAGAGTAGAATGACTATAAATCCTCTCTAGTGGGATCCCAAGGCTATAATCTTTATGGAAGCAGTCTGCCGCACCTATTTTCTGCAGAACAGCTGGGATTTCAAGCTACCAATCTTTCAGTTAGCACCATGAGGGCCCCTTTAGTAATAAAAACATAAAATGGCTTCTTTATACTCCAGGAAGAGTAATTTTGACTATTATCAACCTAACCATTAACCTATATGTTTAGAAAATTGATATAGGTATATTTGTTATATAAGTTATTGTTTTCATTCCATACTAGACGCAACTTAGATATATATATATTTTAAATGTTATCAAAATCTCAACTTCAAATTCTGTTTTATATGCTGCTGCAGAGGGTCAAGGACTGCAGTCTCCAATATGGATTGAGGCTCAATGTCAAGAAGACAAAGATTCTCACCACTGGGCCAATTGGCAGCATCAGGATGGATGGCGAAGAGATTGAGATTGTTCAAAGCTTTAGTTTGCTTGGCTCCACAGTCAACAATTTTGGCAAAAGTAGCCAGGAAATTAAAAGGCATAATGCCATGGGAAAGCCTGCTGTTAGGGACCTCTGCAAAGTACTGAAGAGCAATGGTGTCTCTCTGGAGACTAAGGTGTGTCTGATACAGGCCATGGTCTTCGCAATCACTTGTTATGCATCAGAGAGTTGGACAATGACTAAGGAGGATAGAAGGAGAATTGATGCCTTTGAGCTGTGGTGCTGGAGAAGAGTATTGAGAATACCATGGACTGCTAGGAAAACAAACAGATTCATCCTGGAAAGGGTTAAACCGGGCTGCTCCTTGGAGGCAAGGATTCTGAGGCTCCGTCTAATATATTTTTGACATGTTGTGAGGAGAGACCAGTCCTTGGAGAAGGACATCATGCTTGGGAGGGTGGAGGGACAGCGCAGGAGAGGAAGGCCCTCTATGTGGTGGATTGATTCAGTGACTGGGATAATTGGGATGGGAGTGTCAGAGACAGTGCGATTGGTACTGGACAGAGCGGAGTTTAGGGCTGTTGCACATAGGGTCACTATGAGTCGCAAGCCACTCGACGGCACATAACAACAACAAGAACAACATTTTAAATAGACCCTATTTATTATCACTGGATGCCTAATGGATACTGAGCTACCAACCTAAATGCACACAGTTTGAATCCACCAGCTGTTCTGCAGAAGAGATTTACCGTCTCTGAAAACCTGCTGGAGGGTCAGCTATGAGTCCGTTCTGACTTGATGGTATAGAACAACAATAAAACAGACTAAAAAAGGCCTTGAAACATAAAATTTACTTGAATTATATTTTTAAAAAACCCAGGGTCTTTGGAATGCCTCTATTCAAGTAATTTTCATTTTCATAATTAAATTCTTAGTATGTCTCAGCAGTTTGTCTTCTATTCAAAGAGTTCGACCTCTAGTAGTGTGTCTAACAGTGTTCCTGTAGTGTTCATAGGGTTCTCAGAAGCCAGTTATTTCAGAAGTGACTGTCTTTTCTTAGTCAATCTTAACCTGGAAGCTCCCTTGAAACTTGGCCACTATGGGTGACCTGCTGGTATTAAAATTCCCGTGACATCTTCCAGCATCTCAACAGCCAATAAGTAATTCCAGTATAACAAACTGACAAGTCAGAAAGTAATAAAGTGAGGATTTATATCAATTTGGATCAGTATGAAACTGATCAAGCTTGCAATCAAGACTCATTAATGAGATTGGTGACTGAAACACAAAAGTTGAAAACAAAGAACTGGTACCCTAAAATTGTAGGCTTGGTAATCGAAATGATCCTAGTGATTAAATTTTGTACAATCAGTGTTTATTAATTACAAACACCTTTAAAAACCGTAACTATACACACTGACCTCACCTGATGGACTTACAGGAGTCAGAATGTCAGATAACCACATTTTTTAAGAATCATTGGAGAAGCTCAGTATCAGCAGTGAAGAAGAGGCAGAGTGCTCACTATGAAATAGAGTATCGGTTGCTCATGTGCAAGTTCAAGCTGAAGTTGAAGAAAATTTTTAAAAATCAACAAGAACTAAAATA